TATCATCCCTCTCTTTACACTGTCCTTTTCCACTGTACTGTTGGCACACCGTGCACCTGTCATCTAGGCACTTGTCCCCTCGGAAAGGATTTGACCTCATCAGGATGTCCTTTACTCTACTCCCTGCTTTTTCCCACAATCTTTATCTTAAGGCCCGCTTGCCTCACCGTTTTCTGGGTCCTTTTGGCCAGAGCACCTCCTGATGTCGCTTCAACAAACATGACGGCTTTGAACCTGCCCTCAGTGAACAATTGGTGTTCTTTTGTTCTTTTTGTCCATCTCTCTCCTTTGCTCGCTGTGTTTTCGATCAGTAGAAAGGAACCCTCTCCGTGTTGTTTCTCCTCTCCTCCATTATTTTCTTTGCCTGCTGGTAGACATCCAACTGCTCCTTCTCCATGTAGCCACTGAACTGTATTCTGTCCATCTAATGCTATATGTCTGGTTCTTTCTTCCTGTCCATAGTCCTCCAAGATATTCCTCGTAACCCTGGTTAGATCATTGACCAGAATATCCATCCTTTTCTTTTGACTCACAGCATTGTTTTTGTGAATTACGTACTTGCTGGCCATCGGTTTCATGTTGTGACTGTGGAGTATTACCCGCTTACTAGCGCCGTCTTTCTTTACATCTGCCAGTCGGACCGTCAGATCTAGGACCGGCATCCTTTCATCCTCATAGTTTTCGGGTACAGGCTCTCCCCATTGCCGAAGGTCATCTGCGTTGGGAGCCAGATAGTGTTCACCTCACACCTTCGAGCGTATACACTTTGGTGCCCTGTTCATGTCGTAAAGTGGTACCTGACTAAAACGAAAATATGAGAGGGACGTTAACCCTGTCTCTTATCACTCTCATGAGACCACACCATCCAGTGGCGTCAGTCAGTATTGCCTGCTGGACGGCTTCAGCCATCACAGATTTGCTAATCCAGTCTGACCATCAAGCCCTGATGAACATAGTCAACACTTCATCAGGGTTCATGATGTAAGAACAGATTTTACGCATCTTGGTCTTACCCTCGAGATGTTTCCATTGCAGACATCTGCAAAGCTGCATGTTGGAAGTCTCCCTCTACTTCCTGCTACTTGAGGGATGTCCTGCAGAGCAACACTGCAAATGGCAGGACAATCCTACTGTTCCCAGCGTAGAGGTCAAAGGGACTTCCTGTAGGACAGACAACAAGTCATCGTGAAGTACATTCACTTTTTCTTAAATTTATACACTCTCCTTGTTTATATGTGAGGGCACTGGTGACCTGCTGCCACACCGTAGGTTTTTACTTTTCCCATTTCAATTTTTAATCGTGTGAATCTTCGTTGTTTCTGTAGTCATTAAGTGCCTTCTGTTACATTGATGTGACGTTCATCTTTTTCTGTATTTTCGGCGTCTGATTTTGTGCCATTTTGACTTATTTGGGTGTCATTTGAACATTTGTCATTTTTGTTGTGGGAAATCTACATTCCTGCTGTATGGATTGGAACTCACACTAATCCAACATTGCGATCAGATTAACTACTGTAGCATCTTTCATAGCCCTACTCCCACTGTGGACTGTTGTCACTGGAATATACAAGGTAGTGTATGGTCAACAGACTGTTTGGTTATTCAAACACTTTGCAAACCAGGAATTGCTGAGTAAAGGATCCCCTTTGCCAAGAAGACCGCTAACCAAGTGTTGTAAACATGGCTGTACCAGCCTTTTAATTCCTAGATGTGACCCATTCGTAGACATTACTGTGAGCATTTATGTTGCACTGAACCCAGGCCCACAACTGAATCACCAAGCATCTCACTACAGTACCACTGCTAGCAACCCACCAACGTGCACAAATGGTCTGAGGGATTGCCCGGTATAAATTGAAAAGACTTTCCCACTGTACAAAATGGGAACATTTTGCAATAAAAGCAAACAGTCCAAAGTCCATCCCCCAAGAAGTGTATCTGACTCTGAAAGAGTTAGGAATTTGTTGGAAATTTAGAGGACTTATAGCCGGGATCCGGCTACGCAGGCATATTTTTTACTCATTTCACTGACAGGGCCCACACAAGAACTGTGAATACATATGCACATAATGCACACAACTACTGTATGGACCATAGCTGGTCCACGTCCAGTTTGCTACCCATGGTTCTGTCTACAACTGGAACAACGAACGGAGTGAATATCCCCACATCCCTAGCTTGGACTGATAATAACCACCTTCCCCAACGTTTACCATCGATATTTGTGACCAACGCACGATCACTGGTTCATCGTACCGACAAACTTGGGGTACTTGTACAGGGCTGTAATATTGATATGGCAGTCATAACTGAGACATGGCAGAGTCCTAACATTTTCAACGAAGCCCAGTCCATTGAGGGTTACGAAATTCATACCCGTTACCAAACGCAAGCAAGAGGTGGTGACCTTGCTGTCTATGTGAAGACAGGAATCGCATCACACATCATTAATGGTGTGCTTATACCGCATGAATTGGAATGCTTATGGTTGATTGTACGTCCATCTAGACTCCCACGCTCAGTTTTGTGTACTGTGATATGTGCTGTGTATATTGAGTTCACCTCACCAAGATGTACTTATTGACCATCTTCTTCACTCAGTAGACAATTTAAAAATTAAAGTGCCTGGAGCAGGATTTATCATCATGTGTGACTTTAATAGAACGAACATCCAACTATTTTGTAGGTCACATGGTTTCAAGCAAGTGATAGACCAACCGACTAGAGGTGAAGCAATACTGGAATTTATTATAACAAATATGAAGCAGCATTACCGATCCCCTGAAGTCCATTCGCCATTGGGACTTAGAGACCGTAACTGCATCATTTAGTCTCCTTCTCAAAGAGAAAAACAACACAATTGCGTCCAGAAATGCATTGTTCCACCCCTACCGGCTTACTCTATGCAAAAGTTTGGTAGATGGATAACGTCCCATAATTGGAGTGAGGTACTGCAAGGTACCCATACTGAATCCAAAACTACAGTTTTACCAAACTGTACACAAAGCCATGAACAAATACTTGCCAACAAAAACTATCGGAATACATCCAGCGGATAAACCTTGGATGACCCTAGCAGTCAAGACATTAATTGCAAAATGTCAAAAAGCCTTCTGCTCATCAGGGAAATCTTTGCAGTGGTTTTTTTTTATAGAAACCTTGCAGTCAAAGCAATATCCCAAGCAAAGCAACACTTCTACATTGAAAGGATTCAGAATCTGAAGACCACTGATCCGGCATAATGGCACCAAGGTGTTCAGCTGCTTGCTTATCGGGTCAAACCACAACCGATACTAAATGCTCTAGGTGTACCGTCAACAATTGAAGCTGGCATTGCTGAGAGGATAAACCAACAATTTGCTGAAGGGGCACAAAGTCAACAGCCACTACAACAGAGCTACCATCATTTCCACTGGCAAAGCAACCACGTCAAGTTAATGAATGGGACATGTACAAGAACTGTGTAAAGTTAGTATTGGTAAATCTCTAGGCCTGGATGCCATTCCCATAAGATCATCAAAGAATTTGCGTGCGAATTTATTGTACAATGACCTATATCTTTATTTCTTCCCTTCAAGAAGGATTAGTCCCGCAAGTTTGGAAGGATGCTTTTGCTCCAATTCCCAAAGAGTACCCTGCAACAATTTCTAAACTGAGACAAATATCACTTCTCAACTAGCTAAAGTCGTTGAAGGTTTGTCCCCAAACTTGACCTTGTTACAATATTCATGACATATATTCGTCCTGTGCTCGAATATGCAGCACCCATGTGGAGTTCAGGCCTCACAAATAACCAGATTGAAGCCATCAAGGAAGTTCAGAAATGAGCCTGTAGAATAATTCTTGGTCCTAGCTATATTGGTTATGATCATGCCATGTTTGAATGTAAACTTCCGACCTTGTCTGATAGAAGAGAAATGTTGAGTAGGAAAGTTGCCCAATCGTGTGTTAACTCTTCTAGATTTCAATCCTGGTTCAAACAATGTATTTTATCTCTGCAAGATAAAATCCATTATTCTCCACAGACACATGTTTTATTTGGGGGAGGGAAGGTCGCGATATTAGAGAGGTTTCGTTGGCATACGCTTAGTAAGACGACTATGTTTAGCTCCTGTGACGTCATCAGTTTAAGTGCTCTTCTGACTCCTTCTACACGTAAACGCTTTGTTTACACGGATAGTGGCCACACTACATGTAAGTGACAAATGGATATAACCTTGTAATAATTTTCATCGATGTAAAACAAGACCAGTTGTTCTATGAAGTAATTTATGTTTTGCATTATGTTCTGAGATCATTAGACAATAAAAATAATTACAGTCAGTCTGTTTTTGATGGCATTATCCCAGCCTTTGAACATGTTGAATTTGAAGTGCTAAACGTCATGGTCATGCGTCGCATCCGTTTGCAATGCTCATGCTGAACTAAGACCAAGCTAAGCCTTCGCAAACACCGCTTGACTGAATTTGTACAATTGTTGAAGGCTCTGTGGTAAGGAAAAAGTTGCGTGGTTTGGATCTTCTTCCATCTCATTATGCCTTTCAACCATTGTACAAATTCAGTCAAGCGGTATTTGCGATATGGCTTTATAATAGAGCTGCAGCATAGATTGTTTCTCAGTGCTATTTTAAATTTATGTCCTTGACTAATCCACCAGTGCTTTAATACACATGATGCTAGCGCTAGGCCAAGGGTCACATGTTGCATGTTCTCACTTTATATGAAATCGAACCAGAGGCCGGCCAGGTTACAGATCCCAATAAACCTAACTTAGATTTATGACCTTGACTCGTCCACTCAGGAGCAAGGCTTAACATTTTGATCTAGGCCTGGCCCTAGGCTAGAGGATTTGTGAGGGAAAGGTCAAAAGCTAGTACTAGTTGCCACACCCCCTCCAAAAAAAAACAACAAAACAGGTCAGTGTTACATTAATGTTTTAGCTCTAGCACAGGCTAGCTAGTTTTTTTTACTGTTTTCATATCAGAGCTGCACGACAATGTGATACATTGTCATGCAGTTCTGATATGAAAACAGTAAAAAAAAAAAGCTGGGGGGTAGCTGCAAGACCAACTGTAGCTGTTGCTTTAAAGAAAAATGTGGAGTTCTTTGTCAAATGCTATGGAAAATAATTTTTCTACATTTATCATAGATTTAGGGATAGAAACACATACATAATTTATGCATGTAGAGGTCATGGCCTGGGTCACACCTACCCATTTATATGACAAATACATCGTGGACAAATCAGGAATTATATACCAATATCTTAAGAATTACTTTAACCTCCTTTTCATTTCTTTTTTTTTCCAGAATGGAATCTGACAGGAAAAAAAGCATCAGATTTTATCCAGGGTTGGACGTACTCCTGCTAAGGGAGATAGTTGCCGACATTCCCCAAAATAAATCAATGTGGGAGGCCATAAACAAAAAGTTGAATGACGTCTTGAAAGAACGAAATGCCTATGTCACTTTGAGAGCATGTAAGGATCGCCTTTGCCACCTACGAGAGGCACACCGCAGGCAGGAAATGAATTCATTGAGAGCGTAAGTATCTATTTTGGTAAATTAAAAATTGTTTTCATGAACTTAGTGAAACTTGGTTTTTCATAACCATAGAGTCTTCGGACATTATATTCAGAGATATAATGGGTGCATACTGCTTTGAGGCATCTTGGGGGATCATTTTTAGAGAGTCATGTTTGTACATGTAGGTGTTTTGAAATGGCAAAATGGAATTATATTTTTTATCCATTCAATAGACTTAATAAATGCACTTATCATTAATGCAGTCAGTAAGATCCAGGGTACTTTTTGCCCTGGATAATCTGATGCACAGTCTTTTTTGCCATTTAAGAATGATTTTTCACATTTTTCAGCAGTTCATGGTTGACTTCGGATATGTAGTCAATAAGAAAATTACATGCATATGTGTTTCCACAAATTTGTTTGTAAACAAAAATTTAGGTTTGAGGAAGGCTTCGGAGGGGGGATGGTGTGGCAGTAGGAGTTTTGACCAGTACATGAATGCTATATTTTCTTCGGATCTGGAACGGATTAGGAGTATGATGAAAGGGCACAACTGTTGACCGAACTGGCTGAGTTAGATGAGGAGCGGAAGAAAGCCAAGGAAACATCTGGGAAAGACACACATGCCAAAGAAATTCAAGGAAAAGAAATCCGAATGGCAGCAATGGAATCCCTCGCTGGGACCAGTAAGATGAATACTGATGGGAATGTAGGTGAGAAGTACATCAAAAATATCAATCGTTTACTGTGACTGGCCTTTACTTGTATCAATATTTTTGAAAATCATAAAACTAGCTTTTACTGCAAATTTAAGCTGTTTTGTTTAGGTTTGTAATTTACAATGGGGAATAATACCCCTCATCTACAATGCCATGTGGATAATAACCTTGCACTAGCCAAGCTTCTAAATTTAAAGACCAGTAGTACATGTGCAGTAGTTCACATGTCTTCATCCCTTCACCTTGATCATGCTGCTCATGGCTCATTTCTTACAGACAAAGAAGCTACCACCCAACAAAAAAGCGACCACCCAACAAAAAAGGAAGCGTGCAGGTACTGAGACTACTGACAGCTACATCAAGTATCTTCAAGAGAAGCTGGATCTTGAACAACAGAAATTTCAGTTGGAAAAAAGGGAGAGAGAATTGAGGCTAGAAAGAGAAAACGAAATGTTTAAGATGATGATGGCATTGATTAAGGGAAAGAATAAGGAGAGCTAAACAGTTTGCTCAGTGAGATGCAAGTCTTGTAAATAAAAGAGACAAGGTTTACATGTAATTTTGGTCATTTCAGATTGTATTTTTTATATTCAGTCTCTCATTTTTTTCAAATCTTATTGTTGATGTTTGTAAATAATACTTAATTTATCCAGGAATTATTTAAACATGTACATGCGAGGTATATTTAATCATATGTATATTCCAAATGTATATACATGTATCAAATTATTTATCATTGGATGTTTATGTAAGTTAACTATACCTGTACATTGAGAACTGACATCCTTGGGAAATCTAACATCAAAGGCTTAACTTAATACATGTAGTTGGCCACACACAGATAGAATTGAGGCATGGGTATATAATGTACACACCGCAAACGACAGACTACACGTCATATTTGAAGGATTGCCAGAAAATACAAGGTTCAGTATCCAAAGTTTTGGGTTAATTTCAAATTTTGTGCAAATGACAACCCTGTTGCAATTTAAGACACAACACTTAATCTGAAGAATCTCTTGGTTCAAACATTGGATTGAAGTTTATCATTCGGTCTCAAATCAAGCTAGCCTATTCATCAAGCCATTCAAATTAACTCCCACAACAAGCATTCCTTTATCACTGATCATCCAGTCACTTGTGACTAGACTTGTTAAATGATCAACTTTGTGAATTAAACTGATAAATCAACAGTTTCTTGAACAGTGAGCAATGGTCTGATCTTAAATTGCAATTTCATCTGATAGCTGATAGGTCAGCAACACTGCCTGGGCATACTAGGGCTATGCATATCACGCTAGATAGTCCTCCAGGGAAGGTGGCTCCAGTTGGAAAACTTGCTTGTCTGATTTCCATACAAACGAGTGTGGCAGTTATTAAGAAGACCTCCAACAAGGTAGTACTTGGCAACTGGGGACAATAGAACTTTCAAATTCTTGCGAAAGTCAAGGAAGGCAAAGATTTTCAACATCTTTCCAAATTCCCACTCCACACATTCTCCCACAGATGACATTCTAGTGTTAAATTCTTCTTCTTCAGCTCTCAGGTTTGCCCCTCTGAAAGGACTTATCAGGTAGCGTGGGAGAGGATACGCCGTGTCTCCATAAAGTGCATAGGGGATGCAATTCCTATCCGTGAAATCTCTTGCCTCAAACTGTTCCATCAATCCACTGATACGGAGAAGTGCACTGTCATGCCTTCGTCCCTCTACTGGGCCATAGAGATGTGTGATCAAACCACATGGTATCACCACAGACTGGAATTTGAGTACATGGATTCTTCTGTGTCCGTAAAGCAAACTCGCTGATAACGAGTTGGCCTACAGATTGGACGAACTGTTCCATCCACAAAACCAATGCAATTTTGCAATGGCGCTCCTTTGTTGTGTATTGTGTCTGCATAGAGCTGAAGGTGTGCTGCATCAAGCCATGCGTTGTCCAAGGACAGGAAGCGATGGTGATGAGAAGTGTACAGAAAGTCAACAAGCTGGTTAATAATCAGTGATAGAGTTGATTTGGGTCTGCCAAACAATTCTTCCAGGTCTGATAGCCGATTTGGATCAAATCTCCTTAACAATACACAGACAGTGTCAATACCATTGCAAGTTGAAGCATTTTTCAGTTGTATGCTCTCTGGAACACCAAGTAAATTACTCAGGCGATAAATGTCATCTTTCTTAAATCGAAACTTATCCAAGCACTGATCATCCGTCAATTCTGCTAAGTTAAACCTTGGCCATGCAGGGTTGTAGGTCACTTTTCTTCTTGAGTCAGGTGCATTTGCAAGGAGAAGTTGAATAAATTCAGCATCTTCGTCTTCAATCGCCAAATCAATCAAGTTGAGATTTGGCGCGGCCATCTTTAAATCCCCCGCCGATACGCGCCCTCTATAGAGCTCATTCTAAACGTAACCGGGATCACCCACGAAACACCCAACACTAAACGCTCAAGTATACGACTACGTTTAGAGATAAACGTTGTCGTCTCTCTAACCGTATGCCAACGAAACCTCTCTATTTGTACTGTCCATCGACTGATCACGCCTAGGGGTTTGGAATGTAGACAGGAGTAATAAATCTCCTCCAGTTGCACCTGCTGGCCACCCCCTTGCCAATAACCGTGAATGACTATAGAGGAAGGAGGGGAATGACTTCGCTAATGTGGGTAACCTCTTCCAGGAAGATGGATGATATACATGTACATTGGAATACAATAACTATATGCACAGCCAGCTTTGTGCCAAAAAAGCCACATTGGTTTAGTTTTTTGAAGCCGTCACATGAAAATGGAATTCGCTCTGCAAGAGAACTCCCTTTCAAGACCGAATATTGGTTCGGTTGTCTTGGACTTTGGAGCGGACATTTACGCCTGTATATTCCTGAGTGCTTTCCTTTGTTCCCTGGCCACTTGTAGAGGTTTGTGGGGCCGACTTTTGCCAGAGACGTCCGGGACTGATTGTCTTGTCCCCAGGTTGCCCTCCTTGGAGTAGTGTCACATTTCGTAGCAGCCAGCGATGCCCCGTTTGATCCGAGGGCGGAAGACACAGGCCCACCGTTTATCCCTGTTGCGTACTGCTACAGCTGCAGCTGGACATTGCCACGGTCCTGGGCACCCCCGTCATGGGAAAGTGACAGCAGAGCCAGCGCTAGAGGCCACCACAGAGAGAGCATCAGCTCCAGTCGACGGGTCGCCCAGGTTTCGCAGTTCCAGCCGTGGTGGGATCAAGCTGGGTTTCTGCTGCTGGACCTACGGTAACAAGTATGCCCCCTGCTGCTGTCGGTGATAGTCGGTCAGTGGACCTTTCAGTGGATGGCAACCTAACCTAGCGGACGTTAATAATAGTAGTATTGGCAGTATAAGCAATTGGTCTTCTGCCGGTTTAATAGGCACAAGTACAGGGCTTAACCCAAGTACATGTACTTATGTCAGTGCTTTTCCCAAGTAGTGTTGGGGGGCAAATACTTTGAGTGCTAGCGGTTAAGTGCTCCCGACTAGTATGAATACTTCCCTCCCTTATTCTAATCTGGCGTTTGTAGACGAGAGAAGTTATCAGATCGGGATGTAGTTCGTGCAGAAAGCCATCCCTCACACACCGCCAGTCCTGGCTTTGCTCAGGCCAATAACAACAGCCTTTTACCCGGCGCGTCGGCTCTAGACATGACAAGACTGGCTCTTCTACAGTCTTTAGACATCGGGGCTCCCATTGATCTCCATGTCTCCCCATCAGTGAAAGAGAAGGTTTGTAATGGTCAATATATTGAAATGGCAATATTGTACCGTGACAATGCCAACAGGGCGCTGGCCTCTATGGCGAGCGAGTCAGAGTTAACCATGGCTGTCGAGCAAGAGAAGATTGTTTTTCGGCCTGTGGCTCCTCAGTCGCGAAATTGATTCATATGAAAAATGGTCAAGCGCATTTCATGTTTATATGGCTGTCTGTTCTGTGGCACATCCAAGCCAGTTCTCAGAATTGCTTAAGTATGCGGAGATTATTCGCACTGCAGTGGTACAATTCCCAGGGCTGAGATGGCGGAACTATGACGAGCGGTTTCGCTTGCGAATGGAAACAAATCTGTCACAGTCATGGGCAGCCATTGATATGGAGCTATGGGTCACAATTGCGGCGGCCGGTAGTTTATTTTCTTCAGCAAATGCTGCCATGGCAGTCACTAAAGCTCCTCACATATTAAGGCCGTCTGTTTTTCATTCAATTCCATCACCGGTCCTCGTTGGAATCTCTGCCGATATGCCCTGCCGTCGGTGTGGCTGTTGAGGGCATGGAGCAGCGTCATGCAGAGTGGCCGTGGGGACTGCCCCCCATGATTTTCCCCTGAAACAAGGCACTGCGCCCAGTGGCACAATCTACACACGCTACATTAAGACCACACCGACGGCTGTAGTGGGTGGGCAGCAGGCATTTCAGCCGCCTGTGCAGGGGCCAGAGGCTCTCCTAGGTGCAAACAGCAGCCAACAGTTCAGTGGTGGAAAACCAGATAGAAACACCATTTTTCGTCCCCCAACACCCATTAACTTAGAAGTGCTTCGGCAATGGTTATCGAAATATACGAACAGGGAAGCGGCTGTTCTGTTAGAGGAAGGTTTTTCACAGGGGTTTTCTCTTGGTTTTCAGGGCCCTAGAGTTTGCAGAGATTCTAAATGCCTTAAGTCGGCATTGGACATGTCTGACATAGTCCTTAAAAAATTGCAAAATGAAATTGTTCTTGGGAGAATTGCCAGACCCTTCACACTCCAACCTTTGCCCAATCTCCAATGTTCTCCAATTGGGCTGTTGCCTAAACAGCAACCCAATTCCTTTCGCTTCATCCATCATCTGTCTCATCCCAGTGCTTTGCTGGGCCCCTTATTTAGCAAACCAGTCGGGGCGTTTTTGGACAGATAATGAGGCAGTGGTGCACATTATCAATAAGCAATCCTCTAGTTGTAATCAAATAATGCATTTGGTGCGGCAGTTTGTATGTCAGTGTCTGCGGTATAATATTACATGTAAGGCAGTCCATATCCCAGGTATATGCAATGACATTGCAGATTCCCTGTCTCATTTCCTGATGGCTTGTTTCCGTGCGTTAGCTTCACATAAGGACCGGTCAATGACGCCTATCCCCAACCTTGATAGAAGGTGAGATTAGCCGTTTGTTAACTGCAGCGTCAGCTTCAAATACGCACAAGACTTACCAGACGGGATGGCATGCATTTTGTACTTTTTGCTCTCATGGTTCAATCGTGCCCCTCCCTGCCTCACCAGAGAGTGTGAGGAGATTCATTGCTTGGCTCTCACTTTAACGGCTAGCCCCAACCACCATTGCTACATACGTTTCTGGGGTAGGCCACTATCATAACATTCAAGGTTGGCCAGATCTAACTAGAGATTTTTTAGTTATGAAGCTACTTCCGGGTTGTCGCAGAGATAACTTATTGAAGGATAGGTGTTTGCCACTCGCATTGCCACATTGCCATTGTTGACATGTTTTGGTCACACTGCTTACTGCATTTTTCGGATTTATGCGCATTGGCGAGTTTGCCGCTATTTCAAGGAACCACATCCAGAACTCACTTCTCCTTGCCTCAGACGTACAAGTTTACGACTCGGAAAAGGCTAATGCATCTGTCTTGATCAATCTACGGCACACAAAGAATAATAAAGTGGGTCCTCCTCAAGTGGTTAGATTAGTAAGTTCAGCAGATGAAGAGATATGTCCGGTCCATGCACTGCAATCTTTTGTGCATGTTCAACCAAGACTACCTGGCGGATTTTTCTGCCATTTCAAAGGGGCTCCCCTTACCCAATATCAATGTAACACCATGTTGAAGAAAGTGCTCACATTTTTGGGTCTAGAGGAATTGCCGTTTAGCGCACATTCATTTCGCATTGGCGCTGTATCCACTGCTTCAGCATTGGGGTTCTCCCTGGATGAAATAAAAGCAATGGGGCGGTGGTGGTCTGATGCAGCACAGCGTTACATCTGCCTTTTAATTTATTGTCACCTTCCCGCAGTTTAAGGGAATCAATATTTGATCACCTCAAATCTTACAATGTAATTTATTTCTTGTTTCACTCCCCATGTTTAAAGGGGATGTTTGGATCATTGGCGACTCCATTGTTCGTAGAGCAGCAACCAGTCCAGGGAGTAGGGCGCAAGTGCACTGGAATGGTCAAGGGGGAGCCCATTATGGTCATGTAACAAAATTACTTTTGCACTTGCAGGGCTGCTGTCATCGCCCAGCTATGTTAATAGTACACACTGGAACCAATAACATGGTCGGTACCGATTTTTTCTCAATATGCCAGCATTGCATTGCCTTATTTATGCAAGAATGCTGCACGATGTTTCCTGAGGCCCACTTATTCTGGTCAGACATACTGCCCTGGGCATGTTATTTTGGGGCAACTCAGCCATCTAAAATAGAGAAAAAACTCTCTCAGCTGCCGAATGAATGCATCGGTTCTCCACCACCCACAACTTCAATGGTCAGATTTTTCCCTTTTCCATTACGATGGGGCTCATCTTTTGGACTCCGGTAATGCCCAGTTTCGGGCTAATCTCCGAGACTGCATTGCAGCAGCATTTGGGTATTAAAAGGATAAGTTACTACCGCAGGCTGTTAAGTGTTTTCTCGGGTGGGTGGTGGTCACTGCCGGTCATCCCAGTACTGGGGCATGCATCACGCGTTTGGCAGAAATTCACTGGGAGCGACGGGCAGGGCCTCTTTTCATACTCAAGGACCAACTAAATTAGTTTTCAAGGTTTTAAGTTTTGAGCATGTTAATCATTCTTGTTTTAATGTTAAGGAATACACGCCAAGCACCCTCTTATTCTGGTGGCGCTTATTTCAACCGTATGTGCAAACAGTGGAAAAACACAGCATTTTTCTTCAAGTTTACTCTTTGGTAATCTGCATAGTAGTTTAAGTCACGTGACAGATTGAAACACTGTGACTAGCACCTACTTGTTCAGATGGGGCTAGTTTCCAACCGTAACTGTGAAGGGTGGACACACGCGGTGGATAAGTGG